ATAGAGACCTAGAAATTCCGCAGCATTTCTGAAGGAAAGAAAAGACTTTAAAAATCTGGATTACCCTTTTGCGCTCATTTATTAACGTACAAAGTTTACACCCAGTTCGAATAATCACTAACAAAAATGTTGACTGCGATGGTTGCACACGAGAACATTGGACGTAGGTCACCTTATTTGCATCGTTAACATTTCGTTGTATAATATTCTAATCCAGATAGACAAGTGAAAAAAAAGCATAGCCACAATAAGTGGCGTCAAGTGCATAACGGATTATTAATAAAAGAAAAGTACCACAAAAATTTATCAAGAACCAAACAGGCCCATACAATTAGTCCACAGTCCCCACCCATTTGATGACACTGCGATCTATAAATTTATTTCCTGCGCTTACTGAAAGGATCGGCGATTTGACAACGTCAGCAATGCTATGATGGCCAGTTCTAGCAGTTTGGTGCGGAAGTGGTAGCCGCAGACAGGATTATATGCGCATAGGTGTTATGGACGCAGCGTACGGCATGCCATGTTACATCCAAAGAACACGATACAACAATTTCGAAGTTTGTCGCGACTGATTAGAATACTTGTCAAAAGTAAAAAGATAAGTGGTAAGCAGCGCTGAAATCACTTACCTGGACACTCCACGTATTCATACCACATATCTTTATAGTATTTGCAGTTGATTGCCTAGTTTTATTTTTCTTTGCTTATTAGGACTAGATATATTATACATGATTTTCCTGATTGTACCTGTAAGTATAGCGAAATCGAGGTATTAAGCCTAAGTTATATGCAACGACGGCTTTGTTGGTAAAGACCAAAAGCGGTATCCACCTACACTTTCAAATCTAGTCGATGCCGAAGAGAAAAATACATAGAAATACTCTTAATCATTCCACGTTTAATTAGTCGTACATAAGCTAAGATCCGGCCGAACGATGTAAACGAAACCCACACACTTGACGAGAAGAGAAAATGTCATGGAAAAAATGGCGAAGTAGGTTATGACTTTGCACTTCCTGCGCTTTAGTATCAGTATCAACCAGAATTATTACGAGCCTGAGCACACGTTGCTTTTTGGCTAATCTATGTTTATTCGGAATACGACAAGTAGACCGAAAGAATTAGGCAGGAATTCGCTGACCTATTTGATACTATAGGCATGTTGTTAGCAAAAGGCCGAGATTCTTTCTGAATTCTTTTCTGTTACTTTTGGTAAGCTAAATTAAACAATAATTACAAAGTCTCACTGTATTTTTTCCAGGTATTTTTTCTCACTGAACATGAATCTGATTTGGTGATCGGTGGAAAAATATGTAAGTAATATGGGAATTAAAATTACAAACTTTGGTATTTCTGGAGAACGTACATCTCTCAGAGATGCATATGTCCAGCGACTTCGAACTCTTACTTCAGATCCACCTTCAGCAGGAAAAACAGATAAAAAAGATATAGTGGACCCCCACTACAAACCAATTTTTATTTTTGGTGGACCTATGATTTGTTTTAAACGTTGCTCTGTCGAAAATTTGCCCAACGGCCCCCAATTCTGACTAGTAAAACTAGATGAGACGAATATATTGAAACCCTCAGCACTCACATTTTTGTGGTTCTGTGTTATTTAAGAAGAGTTTGAAGAGGAGTCACGGTGATTGTCTGTTAAGCTCTTCTCTCTTAAAAATACTACATTTACCAATACTCGTTTTCTACTGTATAGTAGTAATATTGTCTATTATGTCAACTAAAATGTTTCACAGAAGGATATGTGATATTAAAATGCAATGACATGGATTATAAATAGCTCAAATGTCCCCCGTGACACTGCACAGATCCATTTTTTCAAAGGCTTTGAAGCATTATACGGCCAAATTTGAGCGATGCGATGGCTTGAGTTATGTTGACTCTGAAGGCATCGTATTGGGTTTAGAATCTCCCCCTATGTGGCACACAGGTTAGCCTTTCCAAACGAAAAGCGAGTCAGCGGTGCAGCGCTTTGATGCTGAGTACCAGTAACCGTGGATAGCTCTGACAGCTGACAGTTAATCAACAAACTATCAAACCTGACAACCAAGTAGTGAAAACTGCTGACAAACTGTGCTATTCAGCATAAATGGGCTGCACCAATAAGCCGCACTACCTCATTACGATTCATAGCGCTCGCCTTTGACTCGATAGCCTCATCGACGTTGTTTCTGCAAGAGTACTAGTGACGACGTTACCTCAAAATTCGTAGAAACCACTATTTGCCGATTCATTAATACCTGACCGGCACGTATTCATCTAAATCTCTTGAATCCAGTATAGCAAAGATATAGTTGGTTATGTACATATGTTCGTCATGTATGAATGTAGCATTTCATACTTATTTTGTCATGTAGGAAATCTCCCATATTTCTTTGGACAATCGAACCCACATGCGTTTTCTCTATTGCAAACGTTTCGGACACAACGGTGACCATCTTCAGTACAATTGTACAGAGAAATATGAGTGATTAGCTTGTATGAGTTGCAATATTTCTCGGCTAGAGTACGGGAAGTAAATGACGGTACCCGCCTATGTGACTAATTAGCAATATACGAGGTGAAAAAATGTCGGATTTCCATTCGCGAGAAACACGACGGATCGTTCTAATTGGATCGATCTAATAAAAAGTACTGCCAGCATGCCGGCAGTACTACAAGTGTTCGCACATTGCAGGGTGGGGTTGCGCACCGAGCAAAGAAAGATTGAGCGATGAAAGTCGCAATTTGCACGAGCCCAGTCGAGCCTACCACTTTTATTTAACACTTCCTGCGAACATAGTCTACTCAAATTACCAGAGAATCTTGAGACACGTAGCAATTGTTTTAGTCATATCAGATACATTTTTCTTCATGCGATCGCGATCCCATGTTGGAACCTAAAAAGTCTATCAGACAATTTGCTTTGAACGATGATATAGATATGAAAACGTCTAATCAAAAATGCTTATAGATGCTATGTCAAATTCAACTATTCAACTATTTGTTCAGTAATGTGAAACAGCAGATGCATATTCTAAGTAACATGGAATAGATAACACCTAGTAATAATAAATGTCTTACAAAGGCTTTCTAAGTATATGTTTTAGGACAAAAAGCGATCAGCTACTCAGCAACATAGATAAAATGGTTATTGTGATATCGTGTGTTCTTACAAAAAGGGTAAGTAAGCAAGAGTTGTGTTTTGTAGCTACAAATACAGGGTGGCGCATCGAAAACGAAACAGACGTTTTCGATGCGCCACATTGTAGAATTAGCATTTGCTTTAATCTGTTCATCATGCCCAGAATAAGAGAAGAAAGGAGACGAGAAAACAGCTTAGCGAGTTTGCTAGCAGGCGAATAGTGGGCTTGTGTATGTTTGGTCCTTTAGAGAACTAGCCACTAGGGTTCACCTAAACACGTAGATGGTTTGCTATCAGTCATGGAATCAAGACGGCCGTACACGAAGAGTTGGAGATACAAGACTTGCATTGGCCCCAGATCTCCCGATCTTTTACCACTTGAATACGTCTGGAACATGATGGGAAGAATATTACTGCATTCACTCTGTCCTCCACAGACTTAGACGCACGAGGTAAATTATTGTGCATACCTATTTATGAATAAGGTGAAGATTCCATCCAAAATTGTATTTTATGTAGAATCAATGTAGTGCGTGGAGGTACCACCTGGCGGATCTCCAAGGCGAGGCCAAAATGTGTGCATGATGCGTGCACACGTGTTCCCTCGCTAGACTCCGTATGGCGTCCCCCCATTTCCACTGTATCCCTCTATAGTCCCACGGTACCCATGGGAGCTTAGGCCTTAGGACTTCGTGGTGGTCAGGATCACTGTTGTAATGTCATGTAGGGGCTTGTACTATGTCATCTGAAAGGTTTTTTCCAATTTCTTCTTAAATATGTTACTGTTCCTAGATCCGCTACAGATATAAAGATTTAGAAAATAAAACTTATGGTGTATAATGAGTAGCACATTTGATTTCAAATGGTGTAAAATACAAAAATTGATCATTGTCTACCTATTGACATTTGGGACTTGATTTCTTCTGGTGTATTATCTTGCAGCAAATTTACCTATAACATTAGAAATTCATCTATAAAATAAATAGTTTACACAACTGATCCTATAAGAAATATAAATCTCATATAAACTTTGTATCACTAAATAAATAGCCCATGAAATAATACCTATCATGCAATGATTCTCCTTACTAGTATTTCTCACCTTATTTCACAGGAGATTTAAAAAATATGAAAGATCTATTTCAGATGGTGCACATCTATCGTATCCTGTTTTTATTAGATTCTGTGGCTTTGCTTCCATCCACTTCGGAGTTTTTTATCTTTGGTTAGTCTTATTTGTGTGCAACAGCCCATGAACTGAACAGTGCTAGCTATAAATAGGAATGAGAGAGAATTTATTGCTGATACCAATATATTTTGCTTCCACTCAAAAGTTGTTGACAGCTGAGAAACCATTGTGAAATAAAACTGTTTAAGCGTGGTCGGTCTTCAAAGTCATTGTCAATTTGTCAAAATTCTCTAAAAAGTTTAAAGGGTGTACCGCTATAAATTGACCCCTCCAACTTTTTTGTACCACCGTTTGTCAAAACACGTTATACATACAAATGTCGTAGGGTCTAATATAAAGTTGTTCATCAAATGTATTTTTCGGATAGATCTTTACTAGTATGGTTAAAAACGTTAATTTTATGTGTAATTTATTTATATGTGCTCAAGTTTGCATCTAGCCCCACATGCAATCTGGTATGTGGCCGCGTACACATCATTAAATCGCAGTGGCGGCCAGTCCATAGGGGCGAAAAGGCTACAGCCCCCCAAGACAAAATGCGAATTAACAAAAAATTTAAAATATGATTTTGTGATTAAATAATTTCCAGATATATACGAAAATTCAATCAAAACCTGAATTTTAATAGTAGCCAGTTACGCAACACGCAATATATATATATATATATATATATATATATATATATATATATATTATCCGATCCCAATACCCCGAAGTCGCGAGCTAGATTCCCTATCGATTCGAGGCTAGAATAATTTTTGCCGCGATCGCCGACCTGATTGAGTGGCTCGCTACGTCATACCCCCCACGCGCTTACGAGTTTTATACGGGATTTTAACACGCGAGGTGGCGAAATAATTTTTAGCCAGTCCCGATTTACGTGTGTACGAAATCGCTTCGTCGGGTCCCCGTGCCGTCGTTCGGGCGTTCAAAAAGTTTAAAATGGCAAATGAAGTACAAAATTTGTTAAAAGGTGAATTTTCTCGGCTTCCGCTTGCTGAAAAAATAATAATAAAATCCCTTGGAAGGCCGATTCCAAATATCAACCTTACTCAGGCTGATAAATCGACGAAAGCTGGTTGTTTTAAGAGACATTTTAAGAAAGATATCTATAACAAAAACAAATGGATATGCGGTTGTGGCACATTAAACGCCCTGTTTTGTTTTCCGTGCTTACTGTTTTATTCAGATGCAGCGGAAAAGACATGGACAAGAACTGGATTTAAAGATTTAAAGCATATAAACCAGAAAATTAGTAAGCATGAAAATTCGGCTCGTCACATGATTTGTTCGACAGAATTAGCTTTATTGGGAACAGCTAGTATCGCTGCTCAGTTAGATTCCGCTTACAGGCAAAATATTATTAAGCACAACGAGCAAGTGGACAAAAATAGATATCTTTTAAAAAGAATAATAAACTGTATAAAGTTTTGCGGTAAATTGGAATTAGCGTTAAGAGGGCACGACGAAAGTTAAGACTCTGAAAATCGTGGCATTTTTCGACAGTTGATTAATTTTACGTCCGAACTGGATACAATATTAAAGGAACATTTAAAAAGTGCGACACTGTTTAAGGGTACTTCTAAAACAGTACAAAATGAAATACTAGATAGTATGTTGGAAGTCTGCCAACAAGAAATTCGACAGCAAATTAATGCAGCAGAGTTTTTAGCTATACAGTGCGACGAAACAACAGATATTTCACATCATTGTCAAATGGTAATGATATTTAGATATCTCCATGAAGGTGAAATACAAGAAAGATTTTGGCGTTTTTTGAGCGTTACGGACAAGACAGCTGAAGGTTTGGCAAAGTGTATCGAAGAAGAACTAGGCCCATTATTAAAAGATTCACCCCACAAATGAATTGCGCAAACTTATGATGGTGCAAACGTAATGAGCGGTAGCAGTGGTGGAGTTCAAACAAAAATCAAACAAAAATATCAGAACGCTCATTTTATACACTGTTACGCTCACCAACTGAACTTAATTATGCAGAGAGCAGCCAGCCAAAATCCAAAAGTAAAAGTGTTTTTTTCAAACCTGTCGGCAATTCCAAGTTTCTTCTCCAACTCCACGCACAGATGCGATTTATTGGAAAAAATAGTTAAAACCAAAATGCCAAAGGTTGCGCCAACACGGTGGAATTATAACATTCGCACAGTCAGTGCCGTTTTTGAGAACCGTGAAAGTCTTATTGATTGTTTCCGGGAGTTAGAGAATAAATGTGATAAAACAATTACTAGTAAGGAGGTTTAAGAAGAGCACTCGAAGATTCTGATTTCATCTTTTTTTTGACTTTTTTTCACAAAACCCTACCGCACGTAGCTATTTTGTTTAACCAGTTTCAAAGTAGGAATAAAGACAGTGTACAACTTTTAAAAGATATTGACGTATTTGAGAAGGCCATTGTATTGATTAGGGACACTACAGAGGATATACAGCAAACTGTTGAAAATGAGCATGGAGACAATGGAAATAAACGCAGAAAAGTAGGACCCGAAGAAAGAAATTGTATTATTGCAAAAGAAGTTTGCGATATAATAATTGTACAGACAAAAGAGAGACTTTCTTACAGGGGTCATCTAGAAGCTGCATCTTTATTAGATACACAAAACTTCACAAACTATTCGAGATATTTTCCAGCAAAAATACTGAATTCAGTTGTGACTTATTATCCAATGGTAAATAAAGAAAAACTGAAAACCGAATTAGAAGTAATGTACATGAGGGAAGACTTCAAAAATATTACAGGTGGTTTGAATTTGCTGTCCCTATTGACTAATAACAACCTAGAGGAAACTTTTAGCGAAGTAACTAAGTTGTTGCAAATAATTATAACTACTCCCATGTCAACTTCCGAAGCAGAGCGCTGTTTCTCAACCCTTAAGAGGATAAAATCGTTTTTAAGAAACTCGATGGGCAATGAACGACTGAATGCATTGGCAATGATGTCTGTTAATAAGAATCTGGTACATAATATCAGCAATTTCGACGAAAAAGTGATGGAACATTTTATTTCACAGAAAGACAGAAGATTAGACTTTACATATAAACATTAAAAAATATTTTGTAATAAATAGAAGTGTGAAGTGTGACAGTTGAAACACAATGTTTGCTCTAGCTGTAGGTAGGTATACTTAGTCGTTTATAATACAATAATACATTTAGGTATACCGTATTTCTGTTCTCTTTTCTAGTTATTTATAGTTACATGTGTTGTAAGAAAGTGAAAAACTATACTTTTGAGTACTGTTGTTCTTTTGATAATAGATGCTCTGTTGCTTTCATATTAGATGCTGCTTTCTTTTGCGATAAGTTCTCGTACCTAAAATATGTTTGTTCCTATACAGAGGACTGTACATAAAATATATAGGTATAGGATTGCCAACTGATCCATCCACAAAATCAGGACATAAAAAATGCAAAAAAAATTATAGCTCTAAAAATGTATATTTGAATTTGAAGGCTCAAAATGGAAGTTTTTGGGCGTGGCACCGTAAAAATTCTTTGCCTCCGGCGGTGACTGCGGCAGGCCACCCTTCCCTACAATAGCCCCCCATTTCTCACAGCCACCGGCCGCCACTGTTAAATCGGAATTTAGGTTTTCAAAAAACAACTTTTCTAAGATGAACTGAATTCAAAAAAAGACACATACTACATATCATGTTAGGCTCAGCATCTTTTTTTTTTGGCACTAGGACATTACATCCCTATTAGCCAGATCCAATTGTATATATTTTAATTCTAGACAATCTAGACAATGACATGACGCCACTACATTCATGGGAGTATTCGAACTCGCAGCCTGGCCGGCCGGCTGATGAGTAGCACGACACTGTCCAGGTCCCCGGCTCAACACCTTTCGTATATAACTTTTTTTGAAAGGTCATACAAGAAAGTGAATAGGGGGTTGATATAAGTTGACTCTGGATACCCCGAACCACCACACTCCCATCAGGATTTTCACCTGAAGAGTTTAATAGTAGTCATTTCGTGCACGTGAACACTTGATTCATCTCAATCTGTCCTTATTGCCGATTACAATCGTTGTTGCGATTAAATGTCAACTTCGGAAAAGTATCAATAAATCATTTGTGTATTTTTGGGGGCATTTTATTCCACAATGAACCATGTGACACCAGCCACTGCCAAATAACAATTTAAACTTGTTCGCCTTCTCTATCTATTCGAAATGTATTTAAGCCAAAGAAAAATCAACAGACAGCGAATATCGATCGCGCTAATATTGATCAGTTGACCGACAGGGTTATTACGTAGAAAACCTATATAATTTTTGAAAAAACGACTAAATGTTAATTTGCTGACTAGATAGTTCCTAGAGTGCGAATAGTTCATTACACTATTGTTCACTATGAGCGTCACCAAAAGTGTCATCTGTGGAGAAGTGACTAAACGACACGCTCAATAACCAGCTCCCAGTCAGTCCCCCAGCATGCTTTGTTGATTCCAAATGCCGAGTCTGTAGAGTATATCTCGCAGAAGATGTGGCAGACGGAAGATGGGTTGTGTAGCACAGTATCAAGACCGCAACTAGAAGATTGTGTATTAATCTGCAGGTATAAATTTTTTTAAAACGGGTTTTTTGCAGTTTAAAAACCTTTGAGAAGCATTCTAGTTGTCATCGCAAAATAGATTTCTATAAAGTTTAAATGACTGGAACTGAAAAATGCTGTAAAATGTTATAACTTTTTCACGTTGCATAAATATTCCTGTCAGTGGTATATTTTCTCACGTTTTGGTTGTAATATAATTCACCATCCTGGGATTTTCTTTTCTTATCTCTTTAATTTTTGAGATTCAGCAGATTTCGTTATGTAATTTCCAGGATGAATAAGAAAAAGAGGTTGAACAACTAATTGCCAGCTTTGCATACATTTCATTAAGTGCATTTGAGACCAGAAGCTAATGGAATTATCATCAACACAGATTATAATCAGATAACGTGACAACATTAGGGCTGTAGCTATTTATTTCTGAAGTAACGAATTGACGTCTTCTGCGAATATGGAGATGTTTTGTGGAATGAAGAATGTCATCTATTTAAGTACATTTTCCCGAAGCAAACAATATCAGAGTGTATGAAAGGTATTTGAAGAAAATAAGCTTACAATACTTTTTCTTCAATCATCGTCATTGTATTAAATGACTAGCTAGAAGAATTTCCATAGCTAACCAATTCAGATGCTATCATGCGTATTCAAAGTTCATAATCTCAATTTCTGCCAAAAGAAAAATGGTTTTTTTCACTGACATTCATAATGCTACGGTCCAATGCCAGAGTACAAGAATTTGTAAAGCTGGCATACAATAAATATACTAGAGAGTACAAAAAAGAACACAAATAATTTACGGGTGTCCTGAAAGTTGGGACTTTCGTTTTCAGAAATAACTACCTTCGGAATAACAAAGCTATATAGCACATAAATTCTCACTATGCACCTATGCACTGCCGTTTGCTTTCACCTGTATATATACAACAGCTCAAACCTCCAATAATGCCATCTCTGAAGCAGATTTTACAAAGGTTCAAAGTACATAATATAAATAGTACCTCATCACCTTATAGATGCCATGATATCGGTCATGTGAGTAAAGAATGTGGGACACAGATAACAAACCAAAAAAATCTATGAACTATCTGTTGCTTTGGTGAAAAGAGAATTAAACATTAACTGGGCAGAATATTCCTCTCGTAGTTGTTAAACTTCTTCCACCGAACCATATTAGAAAGAGGACATAGGGTTCACGCTATTTCCTTGATAGACAGTTTCTATTTACAAGTAATTTAATCTTGTAGGTCAGCACACTTCCGTCCGCTGCAAATAACCCTTTTTATCGATTTTATTAATCCTATCGATCTCGAGGAATTTCAATTAGATCCGTATTAATATTTTAATTCATGTTTGCGTCATGTCATCATCATCGCGTTCGGGTGAGCCAATAGGCTTCAGGAGATAATGGAGATTTGGTTGAGAATAGATTGATGTTGAATCAAAATTGAAAGCTATGAAATTAGCCTTCTTCTGATAGATTAATGGTAAATTAGACGCCTATACGGTACACGGTTTTTTAGTAGCATTCTTATACTGGATGAGATTGTTCCATTTATTAACCTTCTATGACCACGCCAGAGGCTTGCTACGTAAATCAAATCAAGAATCGTACTGAGGGCAGTATCATCAGTAGTCTTTATAGCCTCCTTGATTGTCATAGTGCTCCGTGTCAGCATCAGCGCTCTCCTATTGTGAAGTTATGTTTTCTTTTTGGATTGTAGGTAATTTACTCTGATGAGACAGGTGATATGAATCAAAAGTATGAACAATTGACAATCAAGGAGGCCATAAAGGCGTCATGCAATTGGAGGAACGACTGACGATACGGCCCATATTCTTTGAGTTATAGTTGGGCAAGGTGTGATCGAATGTTGACTTCTAGAAAATCAAGATATCTGCACACTACAGGTAGGGCGGAGCCGTAGAGGTAGACCTGTCTACTAATCAGTCACCATGAAATGCGCGTGTTCAAATCCCATCCCAAGATAGTTTTTTTTGCTATGGATGCTGTGATTATCTGTAGGTGTTGAATGGTCTCGAGCGGATGGCGGATCTCTATGGCGGGACCAGACCTTCTAAAGGGCAAGTCGTGGGGCATGAGTAGCGATTTCCAGGTATTTGAATGGCTGCGTACCTTCTAAGTTGGATAGACGGCCGATTTACCGGTAACAGGTGAGAAACGTAACTAAAAATAGGACTAACTCAAATTCTTATGACTAATTTATGGAAAAAATTATTACAAAGTATTATCCGTCACTGCCAGACACTCCCCATCGGTCGCAACTTCTGCCAGACGCTTTAGCTATAAATTGAGCTCCCCCAACTGTTTTGTATGAGCGTTAAGAAAAAAAAAATGTTTCATATAAAATTATATAGAGTCTAGCATAAAATTGTTTATGTAATTCATTTCCTATACAGGATGTCAGTGCTCTCGAATAAATTCTCTTGTTTAAAAAATACAACTATTCTATAGAACTTTCCTGAGACATCTTAATACAAAAATAACCTAGAGCTTCATTCATACCTATAACATTTATATAGTCGAAGTCACAAAAGATGAGGATTACGTCATAATTTTGGTCTGTAGTAAAAACAAACGACAGCGATTTGTGAATATTTTTAATGAAGTTTCAGATATGTTAGACAGAGACAAACAGAATTTTATGTTTAAACAAACTGTATTGCTAATTTGCATGTATCCGACAAAGATAGACGATGTTTTCATGTTGCATGATCGATCATATCTGAAAGATGAATAGTTAGGTTATGTTAAAGCAGGTTAGGTTGTTTTCGAGTAATACTTTGGCCTTTGGTGTTCTTGTCTTAAGGTATTCTACCCATAACTGTTTTTTTCAAAACAAAAACTCCCCACTAAAATTATGATTAAGGCATCACTCAAAATCATGAAATAAAATGAAAATAAAAATGATCAGTGAAATAACCGTTAATGATAATATAAATTTGTTGTCATTATGTTCCTGACATCATCGACGTACGTCCATTGATTACTTCAGTACAATTTATGGTATGACGTAATAGTCATCTTTCGTGATTTTGATTATATGATTCTTTCAATTGCCATAAAAATAAGATAAGGATCCTAAGCATGGGGATCTCAAAGAAACTTGTAACAATTTCATGGCGTACTGGGAAAAACTAAAATATGGTCAAATCATTTTTATTTTTTTCTGACTTCATTTTAAGAATTTGCCATTGGACTGCATGATGGTGTTTTTAAATTTTTGTGACCGATGGATCGCTTTTTGCGCAACCATCATCAACTTTATTCTTTTATAAGTAAAAAATGTACACCCTGTATCTAATGCCATTTTTTTACCATCGTGCGGAAAGTACTGACTTTCATTACACATCTGCGTGCAGAAAGTAGAACTTTTCCGCATGCTGGTAGAAAATGTCACATACCTAACACTATTTGGAAATTGTATTTTCCGCCCGCGACGGCAGTTGCACTTGTTAGGTAAATAACTATTTTATACGAATTCAACGATGCATCATATGTTACAATTTTTCTTCTTGGTTATAACGAATTTCTCTGATGTACTTCTTTAAGTAGTACTAGTAGTAATATTGCAAATATATGCTTGACTTAAATATCTGTCACCGAGTATTGTTATAATCGTGTATTGTTAATATTGCTGTATTATCATCAGAGATCCAGGCGGTCATTTTATCAACGAAGAAAGTTTCGAAATGCTGACGTGCTACATTTTGCAAACATGTATCTTGGCAAATCTCCTAAAAGAAAATAGGAATTGTTAGAGGAAACCCAGAATAGTGTTTTACAAGCAGTTGCCCTGCTTCTGGACTTTTTTGTTTTATTAGAATCCAAGTTTATCAGCATACTTTTGAAACTGAGCGGCAGTTACGAGACTGTACAATAAAAGCATTTAGTAGATTACACCAGAAATGTTACGTGACGTTTTGAATCCTTGTGTTAGAATATCATATTTATGTTTAGAAAATATTGGCAAACTATTTGAACACATATTGTGAATACAATAAAAATAATGTTAAAAATTTATTATGAATACCACTAGATTAAGCATCAAAGCTTCTCCACGGCATGTAAACATGCTCCGAAGAACGCAGGTTTGTTCTATTTTAACCTAAGCTGTATCTCCCAGAGGTATTAAGATCCCGTTGCATAGGATCCTTATCTTGAACACTCTGTATAAACAGAGTTCAAAATAAAGTGTCTAGTAGAAGTGATGATCAACGAGAAATGTCTAGCAATACTGGATATTACTTTGTAATAATGTTTTACAAAGTATATATGAAAAACAGCTATTAGAATTTAAATTAAGCTTATATCTTTCTCACCTGGTACCGGTAAAACGGTCCACTAGCCATCCTAGCAGACGGGCAGGCCGTTCAGAGTACATGTAAGTCTACTTAATGCCCCACGTGTCTTTCAGAAAATATGTTAAGACTGGTAGATCTGGGATTTTACCCTGTAAGCTTTCTATAGCTTGTCTCCGAAGCGCCGGCGTTCAAACGCGTTTGATATGGGGTGTCACTACGTCGACTGTCATACAAAGTGGTTATCATAACCAAGAAAATTACGCCACCTTCATGACACATTACAAGGTATGCCGTCATATTATTAGATCTAAAGCATATTATTTTGCATATTCCCCAGGAAAAAGTTTGATGAGAATAGCCTGATAAACCACACTGAAACGCCTTTTTAGTGGCATTTTTATACTGGGGAAGATTACTCGACTTATTAGCCTTCTATGACCTACGTAAATTATACTTATAAATGCAAACATAGTGGGTGTAAATCGAATGCTGTTCTAGTGAACTTTTCAAAAGTTAATCATTCCAGATCAAATGGTGGATTACCATCTGAGGTAGGTCTTTAAAAGTGACGTTTTATAAGAAGCGCACATTTGTGTAAGATTTGAAAAATGTCATCAGTATATGCACAGGTACAATGAGGTCTCAATAGCACAATAGCGTGAAAGATATTTTTCGTAGAGCAAATTTTACATTTAGAATATCCTGTCTGAAAACAATGGTAAATGTCACACAAAAGTATTTTTGTAAGACAGAATAGGAAGAGTTCATAATAGCTGATAGCAGAAACTTCCTGCAACTAAAATCTAAGAACCATTTAATTATGAATTATTACACACTATTAGCTAGTCTCGCGCTCATTTTCAACGTACTTACGATTCATGTCTAATCGATCGTTAAAGTCTCCAGCAATTGGTTGCGTATTACTATTGCTGTTAACGTGCGTTATCTTTGCAACATGTAGTAAATGTCAATGGCATAGCAACACTGGACTTATAATTTCATTTGACGGTACCTAGGACTGTTTCCTTTGTCCGTTTTTACATAAAATTAGTTTTAGTTACTACTCGAAATTCTTTTCTTATTTTCCAGTAGTACCCCAGTATAATGGTAGTTTCTATTTGAAAAGTGTACCGCCGTTGGGTTTTTTCTTTTAGGAGAGGACTGTTGTCTCAGCCTAAAATCACGTTTTCCACAAAAATTACATTTTTTGAGGCTGTGTTGTTCAATCAAAGGCATCGATTTATTATAAATTAGTCTTCACACTTCCTTCCTGTAACTCTTTCCTGGTTAGCTCTATAAAGACCACTTATTATACGAGAATTGTAGACCTGTGTATGAAAAATAATCTGTTATTTGATTTTCTATCATCCGAGGTATAGCAACGGAGGTAGAACGAAAAAAGAAACCATGCAATCCTTTGAATAACACCCTCTAAAAGGGTAATTTAAGTGAAAAATTTACTCAGTCAATGGTACTCTTTCTGATTAATACAAAAATCCAACTAGGGAACTGTGTTACTTGAATATATAGTATGTATATAGTTCAGGTAGCAAGCTGCCAATGATCATATTGAGATGATTTTTGTTTTGCGTGATACAGAATTTCATCTGCTGTTTACTTACAAAAATCGTGGATTAATTGATCACAAATAAATTGTTATCATTAATTTTGTAGAATTCGAAACATAGTATCGAAGACGGAAAAACCAAAAAAATGCATTTGTTTGAAGAACACTGCCTCAAAAAGTGTAATTTGTGCGTAAAATGTAGTTTTGGACTTAGTCAGTACTCCCTTTCCAGACTAAAATAAAAACCCAACTGAACTGTGGTATATTTTGCAAGGTGAGGGTCATTTTCGCGATGACATGATCGACATAATATTATAGGTACGCACCTGTTTCGAAACAGTTATTCTCACGCACCTAATCATTAACACTTGTGTAGTTATTCAAAATTCCGTAATTATGTATAAGCAGCACAATTCAATAGGTGTACTCTTCAAGAGCATCAATTTGAAGTTCGTACGGAATCGAGTTTGAATCAGTAGTACCTATCCATCTAGGAGAGAGAAGCAAAAACTTTGAACAGCACAGGTATTATGTAAAAAATCTATAAAACGTCAAAAAAACAATAAAATGTCATCTTGCAGTCTAAGTAGTTCTTAGGGTGAACCCACTCATTCCACGTTTGCTCACTAGGATCATTGTTAGCGTCCATCTATGAATGAATGGCTCAACTACACTCACTATTGGTTGCATATGTTTTGTGAAGCCGAGTAGTCGGTAGTTTTCATATCTGAGAAGAAAATTGGTTGAATAGCAAGATCGCATCTGGATGATTATGTTTATTGGTCTGCATGTGTATAAAATCAGTAATATTTGCTGTGTGAGAAAATCATTACTGAATATGCGGCTAATGAAGTATATCAATCTATTAGCTGTGCCGGACGAGCTATTTATATGTTCTCCTTTCTGAAGACAGGTTATGTTCAAAGCTATATATATTACGATTTTTTAAGTTTTTTTGTGTTTTCAAAAACTTTTAAGAGAATTACAGGAAATCACCACCGCGCCCGCATTGTGTGTAATTAGTGTTAGCATGTATATGACTATATATATAATTATTTCTTATCTCTCATTTTTTAAATTCAGCAAATTTGCATATGTAATTTCCAGAATTGGTAAGAAAAAGTGGATGTGCACTAATTTATAGCTTTGAATCTCAAGTAAGTGCATTTGAGAGAAGAATCCAATGGAATTATCTTCAACACATATTATTAGCTCAAAAATACTCACTGTGCATCGTTTCCTTCTAGCTATAGTATACAACATACAGCTTAGACCTCGAGTAATGCCATCTCTGAAGCAGATCTTACATCACATCAGAGCCAAACATTAATAAATGAGGCCTCATGATGTTTCGGCAACACGTAGAACTTTAAAACGGGTTCACAACGTGTCCGTCAGCTAGTGTTAAGTTAACATCTTGTAGAAAAACCTACATAATGTCACAAAAAAACAATACAATGTCGAAAAAAATCGACAGAAATCGGCAGACTACGCTTGAAGCCATCCCGCGACAGCAAATTCGGACTCTGGTATCAATGAAATAGCCATGTTTGCTTTCCGTCTCTGTAACTACGACCAACCGCAAACAGCGCTGTTTGTGCGCATTAGAAACTCATCAGTGTGGTATTGGTCTAATGGTCCTGGAGACAAATGAACAGAAAGCAAACAAGTGGATGTGACCGTTCGAAAAACCCAAAATACTGTGCGGTAGTAGGCAAAAAATCTGACCATCTCCACCTACCACTGAAAGTTGCCCCACGCTATCGTCGTGTAATTTCTCAACGTTTTTCACAATGCATCGATAGATATAGCATCACCGAAGATTGCACTGAAGAGTTTTTAATAAGCACGAAACAGGGCTTTCTGAGGTTAGTCGTGGTTATATAGTCGGAAAGCAAACATGTCGATTTATAACGTTGGTCCGCTCTGTCAATACTAGGTATGCCGGCTGCTAGATGACTCGGGCGTTTTGGTGGTGCGACGTCCATCTGAGGATTGCGCAAAACATCGAGCAGTTACGACGGTAGCGTAGGAGTTTTCCGTCATCGTTCATCGTACGGGATGAGGGTGAAAATCAACTTGGTAAGAATTGGTAGGTGCAGATCGTCAAATGTTTCGCCTACCTCCGCACAGTAGTATAATCATAAACTTTGTGACATAATAAATCACGTGCGCCATGTAAAATGGGTCTCTGGTATAAGCATAGGTTCAAAGGTATAGGCTGAAAAGCGAAATGTCGATATATTTTATTCATTTATTATAAACCTGATTAGTATATAAAGGCCATATACAACAGTAGGTCGGTAACTTTTACATATTTGCGTTAGACCAAAGCATCGTATTAGTTTTTATAAAAAGTGTTTTTTCTCCGGGGAATGAATTAAAGCTGTGAGTGGACTTCTGTAATTTTTTCAATTTGCGAATGTTTATCGCTGATAACAATAAGCATAAGTCAATAAAATGGAGTTTTGCATTCATTTTGTGGATCTTACAGTTTGAACCCCAAAGTCACACAAAATCAAACTTCAATTGACTAAATTAGTCAGAGTCATAACTAAAGCGCAATATATTGATGTTTTAGTTTAACGTTTTGATATTTTCATTAATGGAATTCAGTACCAACATTTTATGTCTAGAAATTATTGCTATTTTCATTCGCAAGCAATTTGCTGAGTCTCGACCACTAAGGTCTCCATCACTGTGTAGCACAAAAACTTGATCTTTGACAAGGCTTATCTTTAACTTACATATAAAAATAATTATACTCAAACAGCATTTGTTTATCAATCATTTTTAATGTTAACGTATGAAAATTTGAAAACGAGCATATCTGAGTGCCTGTGAAGTGCCGATTCGAGCCATAGAGACAATTTTTTTTAGCTAAAGGCAATTTGACTGTTACGAGATCGATAGTCGTAGTTAATTAATTTCGAAGGTTTCCTTCAGCTGTCGCAGATGTAATCTGCTTGCTGAAAAATGACATGGTATTATCATGATTTTAGCTATTGAAAATTCTTAGTTTGGCGTACAACCGAAGGACTTTCCTGAGGTTGTGGACATCCTCTTTAAAATTTTTTCTTACAATGATACAGCTACCATACCTGATGCGGCACTGCTACCTACACTCTAGTCTCCAAGCCCCGAAATATATCAGTAGCTGAGAGGTAAACAGTCGTAAGTCCATTTTGACTCAATTTTGAGGTATTCTAATAATATTACCTCAAAATTAAAATATTTGATAAAGATTATATTTTGTTAAACACCACCTTTTTAATGTTGATGTTTTTAATTTTGAAAATACGATATGTCTGTTGTTGAAGCTGCTACCTACACTCCTGTCATTAACGCCCGCATCATTATTTAAAGTTCGTCAGCCGCAAAGTTTTATGTTCTATCTATCGCTAGAGTCTCCAAACCCAGAAACATATCAGTAGCTGAGAGGTAAACAGTCGTAAGTCCATTTTGACTCAATTTTGAGGTATTCTAGTAATATTACCTCAAAATTAAAATATTTTATAAAGATTATATTTTGTTAAGCACCACCTTTTTAATGTTGATGTTTTTAATTTTGAAAATACGATATGTCCGTTGTTGAAGCTGCTACCTACACCCCTGAACATATTATTTAAACACGCAGCTCTAAAACAAACTGTCTAGAATTATACTTTTTATTCACTCACGTATGAACATGAGTGAACGTATCCATAAAAAAAGGTCTATCTTATCATTCTGACTATATTTAATCACAAGAAATACATACATATTTGAATTTCGCGCCTTACTAATCATTAAAGTCTCCAATGTATGCTTGAGTTTACCACGTTTAACGTTGTTTACCACATAAAGTCTAAAATCGTATTGTGGATTCTGCCATAGGTACTAGACACCAACTAAACTAAATTTGTCCTCTGCAACACAGAGAAAACATTGAGCCTGTGATTTATTAATGAAAAAACGTTGCGTAGTCATTCCTGATACATTCTA